ACGCAAACGCACTTATTTAAATACAAGTGAATGCTTAGGCTATCTCCGAGTGACGACAGTCTGTTAAAAGCATCAAAGAGCCTGTCGCCATTTGATGTTGATTTCAGTGTCCACGATTATATTTACACACGATCTATTCCTAGCATTCCAGGATGTGCATCGTTGTGTAATTGGTATCGGAATGGGAAATCGGTGAACCGAGTTCGAATTCCAGTCTGGTTAGTTTTATTCACTTACGCACAAATACCCTTGGGCAAAGATATGAATTCATCTATGGGTGGAATAGCAGGGTAGATTGGGTTCTTTACCCATTGTTGGCAACCAGTCTACCGTATAAATAAATGGCAAGCGACTGGGAGAAAAATCTTCTGCTTAGTCTGTCATCTTTTAAAAGACATGAACACCGAAGTGTGTGTCACGCAGGGCACTTAACTTCTATATATGAATCTAACATAACTTCAAACTATTTTTTCTCATAGATAATTCCAAATTTGCACATTTTTTTTTAAGCGTTTCACCCCAAGCAAGGCGAGAAGCCACTAGGACGCAAGGGGTTACAGAAGATTTGGAGCAAGACCAGAGAGGAGTGATAGAAGAAAGGACAGTAAAGAGTATTGGGAAAGAGTTGGACGAGTCTAATCGTGATTACGAAGGTATGGTAATTCGAAAACTCACTCTGATAAAAGCGCACAACTAGGCTGGCATCTCGCTCTCACCCTTTCACTGTCGAAACTCCTAAATGTAGCCGTCTCTTTTACTCCAATAGCTTCATGTCTCGCACCTCTCGCCTGTGGAACTCCCATCCTTATTCCAATTTCCCTGAGAGATATAATCTCCAACTATTCAAGTGTAATGTCAATCGATATCTCCAGAAGAAAGGATGAGGAGAAGGGTAGTGGATAGATCAAGGCAACCACACACACACACACACACACACACACACACACACACATATATATATATATATATATATATATATATATATATATATATATATATATATGTAGATATAAAAAATAAGACAGAACACGTTAGGTAAATAATCCGGAGTACTTTAATATTTTTGTTTTTATATTTAAAAAACAGTGCTCCATAAAGAAATAGAGCTTAAATTATAATTAATTTTAAAAAAATATGATTCCTTCGCTACATATGAGTTCTCATGTTTCAAAACCGAGAGCCGAAAACCTCAATATAATTATTAAAATTAAATTGAATCAAGCCCTCTTTCATCCACAAGCGAAAATTTACGAATAACCAATCTTGAAATTTACGCATCTTTATAAGCATGTTCATTCGCAAAATGGAAACGGCTGGGGCGACCATTTTGGTAAGGGGCCTAAGAGTTAATTTTTATCCACATATCAGTCACCTTCGGAAAGACGTTGAAGTTCACACCCAGAGGCGACAATCTGTTTCAAGATAAACGCAGTCGTCAGGTAGATGGCTTCTGGGTGTTGAATTCACTTTTATATTTACGCTCTATCGCAGATATTGAACACTTTAAACCATAAACATAGCATACCTTAAAGCTATATTTTATTATATATATATACATATATATATGTAAGCAAATATATGGATATAGATCCGACAGTATGAAGAAAAATATACATGGAAGACTTTAAGCTTATACGAAAATATAAGTATCTATTGATCTCCGCGTATTCCTATAAGAACAGAAAGGATTTCTTAACGAACTGTTTATATGAGAAAATCGTTCAATCGAGCTTATCGAATATTTTGAAATCATCTTCGAATACGTTTTCACAACATCTCCCACGTGATGACGACGTGATCATATTAAAACGGAACGCTGATCTTATAAAAATTCAGTTATCTGTTTGGATTAGTCTTACTCTTATGTCTACCGTCTTTTTCATGTTGAATTGAATATAGTCTAATGTTAATTATGTTTTATGAATATGTCTTGAAGATGGTCTATAAGACCGAAACGTCCGACGTAGACATTATATTAACATTAAAACAGCATAATTGCATATTAGGATTTTTGTTTGTTTTTCCGTATATTTTTCTTCATATATATATATATATATATATATATATATATATATATATATATGTAGCAATGGATAAATCTCGCCATTTTTATTTTTAATTTCGCGCATGCGAGTTGTTTTGTTTTTGATTTTGTCGATTGCACTGTATAGTAGGGTCAATTGGCGATCGTCAGGATGTAAAAGGGCACCAAGACTCACTCCGTCATAAAGTTGCAAGCAGCATGCTGTACTGCTTGGCATTCGTGCCGGAAGCTCCAATACGAACATTTCAGAGTATTTGGGTGTCAATCTAAGGACAGTAAAGAGTATTGGGAAAGAGTTGGACGAGTCTAATGATGATTACGAAGGTATGGCGATTCGAAAACTCACTCTGATAAAATCGCACAACTAGGCTGGCATACTGCTCTCATCCTTTCACTGTCGAAACTCGTAAATGTAGCCGTCTCTTCTACTCCAATAGCTTCATGTCTCGCACCTCT